TCTCTGTGTCTGTGTGTTTGTCAACTCTTTCTCTGTCTTTCAAGCTTACGGAGGGGCGCTAATGTGCTGCTTAATCTGGGCATAAAGAAGATTCAAATAATGTATCTCAAGGAATAACCAGAACACTAGGACGTCACAAACAGGAATTGCGGAATATTTATTATTATCCTTTGAAAACAGTTGACTATATTTTCACAATGAAATACTTTAAAAATGTCAGATACATACTATTATCATCGTTTACTGGAACGGAAAGTAATATTTGCTCACAGAGACTGCACTCGACGAAACTCCTCAATGCATCTGCCTGCTGGGGTTGCGATTGATTTATTTCTCTTAGAATGAAATTATACCGTATGTCTAAACGTTTGAGTTAATGACAAAGTATGGGTAGAAAAAGAACGTCTTATTCTCTAAGAAAGTAAATCTTAATACTCTTTGCCCCTACCATACAAAACTTTCAAGACTTTAGTGATGAAAGTGTTGGTGTTTATCGAGAGGTATTTTGGTGGGCGTATTTCCAGAAACGACTGAGTTCGTTAAAAAAATCTGGGCTTAAAGTCATATGGAGCAATGGCGGTGGCGTCGTTTCTAAGCGAATGTAAACAAACGTGCTTTTCGTTTCATTATGGATAAAACAGACTACACAGTTGCATGTGGTAAGGGTAACAATACTGTTTCTGTGACATAGTGGGTATACTCTTTAATGCTATAAGACTATTGATTTGTGATTGGTGTTCTGATGACATTTTTTTTCTGTCTCTGTCATGACTTTGTTCTGGTTTCTTATTCTTGTCAAAGTCGCAATCACATTCTTCCAAGACAAGTCGAAGCGACTACAGAATTAACTGTAGATAGTGTTACGAATAAAAAGTATCAATTAGAAGACTGAATTAACAATTCTCTGTATAGATCAGTGTTTTGGCTGTTTTGTCTTGAATATTTAGTTCATTTGAATACAACATTTTGAGTAGTAAAATATTTTCGTTGTCATCGCCGGTCGATGGACTCGGTTCAAACATGTTTCGATTAGTTGTTCCCCTTTGCTGGCAACTGAAGTTTTGGCCAGCTCTGGCACGCAGCCAGTACAAGTGCTGGAAGTTGGAGAGATTTCTTTGTTCTTCATTTACGCATGTTGGTTATTCAATGGCCTTTATATGTGTGAGCCTCGAGCCATTCCAAATATTATGATACGCATTTGCAGAGAATTGTTTATTGTTGCAGCTGAGTTTAACCTCTGGAGTTTTGTTTTTACCATAGCCTACTGTTTCTGCTCAGACTCAGAGATGTTGTTTCTTTGAGTTTCCTTTTTTTTGTGCAACAGACTCTTGCTCACAGTTCCAAGTTCAATGTCCTCGTTTGAATGGAAAGATTCGAGCCCATAAAACTGAGAAATTTATCCCATCCAGTCATCACAACTTTTCATCAGAGTAAGTCGCTGAGTTATCTGTTTATTTATTCTTTTTGATAAGGGGTGATCTGACAACAAGCAGATTACTCCCAGTGCCATCTTCTGATGGAAAATTCATTAAATTTAAAATGTAAACTAAAATATTGTTCATAGTCTAAAGCTTTAACCTGCCTCAAATTTATTTAGAAATATAATTCAGTAATTTAATTATTATATATATATATATACAGCTTTTTATTTTAAAAAATGGTAGTGTGACTGTATGAATGATCTACAACGGTAAAGGTGCAATTTTGCTTTCTTCAGTTGTCTGTACATTTCTTCTTTCTTGAAACACCCGAATAAGGGGGGAAAATCATTGAAATTATCTGTTTTTTCAAATTCAATCTTTAATAGAAACAGTATACCGGTATGACACACATGGTATACTGATCAGATTTTTAGGTCCCGAATGTGTTCTTATATATCTATATTATATGTGTGTGTTTATAACGTAGAATCTACATAAGTTCGCACAAATTAAGTTCATGAATTATAATGAAAAGGTTTCCATGGCTGGCTGATTTCGCAATGAGGGCTATACTAGACTATATATATATATAATATTAACCCTATCCGTACGTCGTGTTTTACTATCGTATCCACACAACGTGGGGAACTGTGCCACCACTTTCCAAAGAGGAAATTTGCCCGTTAATCCGATTGGTACGCTTTGCATAGCAGTCTGTCAAAATGATTTTTTGAGAAATACTGAAAGTTTCAAAGAGATCTTCGTGCTAAAGTATTCTAAAATGTGAAGAATACTACCGGGTAGGGTTAAAAATACTGCTAAGGAAAGTGGTTAGTTCATTTCCTGTCAACTCGGAAGCCTTTTTGAGCCTCTATTTAATTTGTTAACTCCAGACAGTTACGAGTAAATGTGAGAAATGGCTTTGTTCATGCAATGCTGACTGTCTGACATTGTATGAGAATTAAGTAGTTTAGCGTCCCAATGTTTAATGAAGAGTGCTGCTGAAGGGAAGCGTTCAGGCTTTCTGTCACAACTTCTTAGAGGTAGAGAATCTTCTACACAATCATGAGGAATCTCACATCTCCCCTTACCTTCTCTCTATCATGGTTATGTGCACAGATGTGCGTGGAAGAGAGGATGTGTGCGGGAAGAGTGTGTGTGTGTACATGGGCGTGCGTATGCGTTTGTGTGCATGATGTGTGTGTGTGTGTGTGTGTGTGTGCTTGTGTGTCTGGGTGTGTGTTTGTGTGTATGTGTGTGTGTACATGTGCATGCGCGTATATGTGTGTGTGCATGATGCATGTGTGTGTGTGTGTGTGTGTGTGTGTGTGTGCATGATGTGTGTGTGTGAGAGAGGGGGGGGGGGAGATTAAGTCTGAGGTTCTTTTGAAATTGTTTCTTGAGCTTCAGATTGTTTCTTTTTTGTTTTTTGACATACTAATGCGAATCCTCCCTTTTGCTCACTTGATGGAGAAAATCATACAATATAATGATAATAGTGATCACGATAACGCATAATTTCCAACCTCACTGCGAGGCTGTTTTTATCATAGAAATTTTTACACATATATACATTTTTTTGTTTTACGTACGCGCAAGTCAATTAATTTTTAAGATGTGATGTCTTTTTCGATGTAATGCGCATTGAGCATTTAAAAAAAAAAATTGGAAATGCGCAGTATAAATGCTATTTTTTATTATTATTAATAATAATACATAATAATAAATAGTAAAATATTAGATAATAATAGATAGCCATGATGACAGATGGGTAGGGGAGGGAGGGGATAATTATTTTTATCGAGTATTCCGGTCTGTCTGCTGGGACATCGTATCCCTCTCAGCCTGGGTTGTCCCTGACAGCCTGCAGGGTTTGAAGCCCGCCTCCTAAATTGATCTAAACTGTGTCGATGAGGGTGTAAAAAACAACCATTACTAAACTAACATGAGAAAGAAGTTTCTCCCACCAGGACCCAAGACGGTCAATGATTCAGCAAGTTTGTCTTGTTGACACTGACCCGTTACTTGTGTGTGTGACTGTGTGTGTGTGTGAGACTGTGTGTGTGTGTGTGTGTGTGTGTATGTGTGCGTGTGTGTGTGTGTGTGTGTGTGTGTATGT